CGCATGTATATTTTGATCCGATCAAAGAATATATGAAGAGGGTAAAGCTAGCTACAATACGAATACGAACCGATAAAAATGAGCATTCATCCTTGCATTGAATGTGTAACAGTAACAATAATAAGTAATTGTGATAATGAAGTTAGACCACGTCAATAAGCCCTACAGTGCGACGATTGCGGTCGATCATATGGCCTTTCTGACCATATGATCGATTTCTGTGCAGTCAAAGTCTTCATGGTTTTGTTAGAAGCCGAGAAAAAGTTTCGCAAGCTTGCGAAATGTCTGTGAGTAAGAAACGAGTACATAACAAACAAACAACGCTTCATTTTTTTGTTAGAAAAGGAGAACGCTTCCCTTTGTTGTTAGCAACGAACAACGCTTTTAGAATCGTTACTCAAACATATTTCAATTCCGAGCATACGATCGGTTTCTGTGTAGTCAAAGTCTTCATGGTATTGTTAGAAACCAATAAAAAGTTTCTCAAGCTTACGAAACGTCCGTGAGTAAGAAACGATTACATACCAAATGAAGAACGCTTCATTTTGTTGTTGGAAGCGAACAATGTTTCCCTTTGTTTTGGGGAACGAACAACACTTTAAGAATCTTCATGATGTAGTCGGAAACAAAGAGCGCTTTAGTAATAAAAATTTCTCAACGTTATTGCCTATTAACAGTCTGAAATTCAGATCTTTTTAGTATTGTTTCTTCGGGCAACTTGACTTTTTTTTTCGGGCGACATAACTAAAATTTCGGGCAACTTGTAGCGCTACACATTTCTTAACAATGAACAAAGATTTCATAACATGAATATGATGTTATACATCGTTCAGAAAGAAGTTCATGTTTCTTGGATGAAAATTTTTAAAAAATTCCAATACGTTTAATGTATGGCTAGTTTGTTCAGAAACTGGGGTATTCCAATGAGAAATTTTGGATTGCATTGCTTTTACAAATGAAAACCTTTATCGCAATGGCTTAACTACTTCCCCTAGCTGTACCCTATGTCAGGAGGTAGCGAAATTCATAGAGAATTTGCTTTTTTCTTGTAAAATATCGTCTAAATTCTGGAAACGTGCCTCAACCTTGCTTAGAGATAATTGTATTCATTTTGAAACGCTGACGGAATGTGATAAAATTTTTGGGAGACTCGATGTTAAAGAAGGCTTGATTTTAAAAAATCATATCTTATTATTTTGGAAATATTATACATACTTACATAATCGAAATTTGACTGTTTCTTATTTTTCCTTCTGTTTATAGAGATGACTGTATTCTTCACTGCTTACTAACTCCCACATACTATTAACCTTATTGGTTGCAATTTGCAAAATGTTCTCTTTAACAAAAAAACAAAAAAAAGAAAAATAGGATTCGTACCCACGACCTCCTGTTTACTTGTGTTACTTCCTACTTTGGAAAAACTCGTAAATCACATAAAGGGACAATTGTCGCCACACGCTTGGACCATTTTAGATTCTCATTGGAGAAAAATATGGCAAGACGAAAAAGACGAAAAAGAGAGAGGAAAAAAACGTTTTTGTTGCACAGCATTGACTATAGCTTTTGATCATCAATGATAAAGTTAGGACAGTCATGCCAGGAATTACTCACAACCCAACCGATTGAGCTGAGCTGGTAAAGAAAGTGGTACTAGGATCGACTAGAATTGGTATCAGGTCCTAACAAGAAAAATACAATCGATAAAAAAAGTGGAATTTAGGTGCAAAACGGTCATTCTTCTGACCTTTGATCAACAGCCAGTCAGCTTTGCTCAAACAAACCCTTGAAATCATATCAAGCATTACACACTCCTGACTGACCATCAGAGGTTTGAGCGTCAAAATATGGACAACAACCAACTAATGGGGAATCCGGGTGTCAATCCCGGTACCTCCCGCATGCTAAGCGGGCGCCCTATCTCTTGAGATTCTTTCTTTAATATAAAAATAAGCCAACTGTTATAGGGTGTACCCGCCTCCTTTTTATCTACCGTGCTTATGGTCATTTTTCTTATCTTGGTGGATCAGTTTTACTTCGAACATCCGTGAGGAATAAAACGGTAAAGGATGGTGCAGTTATTTTTAGTGCCACCTCACTAATTCATTAACTCAGTCGGCAAAGCGTGGTGTGGATAAAGCCAAGATTGTGCCTTCGACCATCACGCAAACCAACGAGGAAAATACTATTTTGCTGCTTTAGCACATGGTTATTTTAACTTGATTGGTAGGGAAACCTTACGTGAAATTTTGGGAATTTGCATAGGGTGAAAGTAATATCAAATCGTTTTTTTCTGGAAATGTCGCCTATTGCCTTCGCTTTTCTGCTAAATTTGTCTTTCACGGGCTCCGGTGGAACCCGCGAGTATGTTTATTTCTCCTAAGCTCTGCCTCCTCTAACAATGCGACACACGATCGGTGATTAGTGCTGAAATTGTACAAGAGAAGCTAAAAGAAACGGTTTACAAAAGCTTTATAAAAAGGAATTAAAGATAAAAACGACAGGTTTTTGTGGAAAAACAGCAGATAAAATAGTCGAGCATCGAAACTAACCAATTCCGCCTAAGTGTTTGACACCGATGAAAAAAAAGAACTTACAAAAGCTGTAGTTTACAATTGCATAAATTGTCACGCCTTCCTGTCGGCAACCAATACTAAGGCAGTACATCTTGTCACTGTGTTAGTTCAACTTAACACAGCGTGTGACTTTTTTTTCGTTTCGAAGAAACAAGTGTCAAAGTGACTTTCAAGACTTCATTACGTCTTTCAGCTATCATAGAAAAATGGATTTTGTAACACAAGCACGTAATGTGTGATTTTTTTCGAACAATAGCATAAACCATAACTTTCTGAACTATTGTTTCTTTGTTCTGCCCTGAGTTTGAGCTCTGCCGCCATCCTACAGGGTTTTACCGGTACAGTTTCCCTACGGCCTTGTTCGGTTTTGCGCGAAAAAAAATAATCGTTGTAGTAGGAACCTTCGTTTTGACTAGCACTCCTTTTAACAGAAAAACAAAAGATTGCCACTTAATTAGGTACTTAACTGACAGTCTGAGAGGCAAACTAATGACAAATAACGAAAGAAATACTCGCAGTTATACAAGAAATCCTGCCATGTCAGCTTGTCATATAGGTAAGCGCGAAATTATCTAAGTACATTGTAGGTCAGCTCAAGCCTGAGTACTGAGCTACAATCGAAGAGCATGTAGACTGTCATGTGAAGTTCTTCTGTTCGTTTTGATGTATCCATGGAAATAGCCCCAGGGCAGCCTTGGTTTGAGAAAAGCGGTTCTGTTAAAAGCGTCCTAATCTTTGTACCTTTGGGTAAAAGGGCCAAGTAACCACAAGTACCATGTTCACATTACTGCGTATTCGTCGGCAGGCTCACTGATATGAAAGTCTACCATCAACCCCTGTGTTCTTCTAATTTTTTAAAATCATACATTCGCCCTCTCATCCATCTTGATAAAATAAATGCGGAAAGCACATGTTGTTTGCTCATCTTGCAGACAGGTTGTCGAGATTAACTCAGCAGGAAATATCTCAATCAATAGCTGATGATTCAACCTACGCAAGAAAAAGAAAGTTGGAATTGATGGGAGGCAAGGACCATCATGGGTGGAAATGGTCTCTTCCATAAGTCTACCCCAAAAATTAAACACCCAATTCATTTGTCAATGCAAGAACAATAAACGTCGTAAGGTCCACATCAGGATACAAAATAAACATGAATTTCTTTCTTGTTTTTCCCATCAAGTTGTTTAGAATCAGCATATTAAGGACTCTTTATTCTTATCTCAATAATTGGTTTGCGGTTTTAAATAAATTTGACTGAGGCCTTCTGTTGAATCATTCGGGCGAATGTTGAAACTGAAAGTTTTAATTTCTGTTCAGTAGCTATTTAACAATTAAAAGACGCTTTTTGTGCGACGGTGATCAATCTAAGTCAGCTCCTCTTCTTTTAAATGAACTTATTTCTTTGATCTTCCCTTTGATCGACAACTTAACGATAACTACCCTTTGAAAGATTAAACATGCGATGAGAAAGTGAAAATTTTCGCCTCTAGGATGATTGCTATTCTTCATTTTTGAAGAGATGCGTTGAAAGTAGTAATTAATATCAATTATCTTTGAAACAAGAAGAACCCACAGGGCGGGTTGCCTGATTCAAAGCCGAATCTTGAAATGATGTTGAGCTTGAAACTAAATCAAAACCTCATCAGGAAGACTTTCCACTCAACAGGTCCTAAATATAAATTTTGTTTGAAGAAGAACTCGAATATTCTCTAGGGCTAAGGAAAGCTGTTGTTTTGGATACACCTGCTTATCGCTGTTACATGAAAATGCAAATTTTTTTTCTGGTTAATTGATTGCACAATTTAACATGTAAAAGGGTAGGAATTCAAAATACCTCGCCTGCAAGGTTCATCATTTTGTTGATTTATTCAAACAGTGTCAATCGCTTGCTTCTCACCAAAAGCTACTGACAACGGAAGCCAAAAATAAATTCAGGTAAACTCTCAGCTTTAGCAAGAAACTAAAATTATTATTGTTTTCTCCGTAGTTGCTCAAATGTTTTCAACGTTTTTTTGTTTTGAGATGATATTTCCATTCCGTTCGATCCTAACAATTAGAGCAGAAGTTTGCATTAACCGACAAAATGAGAACTCAAATTGTTTTTCCTCAGATGTCCGTGATAATGATAAGCTTGAAATCTCCTCGTTATAACCTCTTAACAATTTTAAAGTCTTCGGCCATGGAGGTTTTATCTTTCTCTCAGAAGTTTAGAGAAAATTCAGGATAAACATTTTATACATTTAAAGCACCTAGCTTGACATTTTATTTTCGCAAACCCAGCGAGGTAACGCAAAAAGGGAAATAAATATATAAGACGAGTTGTTAGTGAGGCCAAAGAGAGAGCTTTTAACAACTTTCTATTAGGTACATTATTGCTTAAAGCGTCCGGGAAAATTGGTGTTATTGAAAAGTTGTGTAATTAACTTTCCCGTTGAAGAGAGGATCGTGTACTGAGTAGTGAATCTAATTGGCAAAGTGATCATCTGCTAGTCAAGAATTCAAAGCCGTTCTTCATTGCCACACTTCTAAATTTCATAAGAGGTGAGTAGACACGAAAAGTAGGATAAATGACACTTCAAGAAAATCATTTGTTTTGAGTCGTTTTTCGACAGTGAAATTGTTTTAAAATAGCAGGAAGTCTGAAAATAATAGTTTGCTTGGAAAAGCACCGAAGAGGTATGAATTTACGCAAAAGAAATGAAGATGTACAAACCATGAGGGTGCTGTCTGTTTGATTACGCTCCTACTTTGGAAGATTTGTCATCAGCTAGATACTCATTGCACTGTGGTATTGAAGCCCGATTGTGGAGGGCCGAATAGCAAACTCATTAATTATTATCGACGTGAGGTTTGAGATTTTTCGTCATATCATTCTTCCTACAAAGACATTGGTCAGGCCTTTTTTTCATTATGTATGGCTCTTCTTTCATTTGGTGGGACTTCATAAACAATAGTCGAAAAGACAATTCCTCTTCACCGTTTCACCTTACTTTCCCGGGCCCGTTTACTTGTGAGTCTTCTCAGGGCATCCTCTGGTTAAGGTTTAAACCATTTTTCACCTGGTGAAAAACCGCATTTTTTCTGCGAAGTCCCAATACCACGCCTTCGCAACATCTTTGTGCCTCATCCTAAAATCTAACTGAGTCAGTCTGGGGTATCCACTCACAATATGGCTGATTGTTTTAACTGCCTAAAGATACGATTTACATTCACCGCGATCTTACCTCCAGTTATCAAACCTGTTCTGAAGCAGCAAAATAGAGACTCCTTTTCTTTTTAATCCTTATCGATCTACGTTAATGTCCATTTTGTTTTCTCTCTCTTAGTCCTAGAAATTCGTGTCAAAGGCCTTTCTCTCCACTCCATCTAACTGTCAGCTTTCTTTCGTTCATTCCTTTCAGCTCGTGGTTTCTTGGTCCTTTGGTTTCTCACAATCATATGGTACTTTTTCCTTCTTGGTTACTATATTTGTTATTATTCTTGTAATCATTACTATTGTTTCTATTATAAGTACCATCATAACTGCTCTTGTTGTTAAAGTTGTTGTCAGTTTTGCCTCGTCCAATAATCAGTGTAAGAAGCCCTCCATCCGAACTACAAGATAAAACTAGTCACTCTTCATCGAAATGGTAAAATTTCCGCACGGCCCATGCTACTGAAAAACAAATCAGTTTTCCCAATGGCAATGTATTGTTTTTGTTATTGTTTTTTCTATCCAAGAACTGAATGCATAATGTAGTATGGGGCTGTGCGGAAATTTTACCATCGAAATTCCTGATCATTTTTGGAACGGCTCAAATGAAGAATAGCTAAGCTAGCCAAGCTGAGCCATCGCGCTATGTTATAATTAGCATAGCAGGTCCCTCTAGGTTTTCTAAAAGCAAAACACTCAGCGCTATTCAACGAATTCGGTGATAATTCACCATAATTCCTTGGCCGCGCTCTTCCTTGCTTCATCGTCAAGCCCATCAAGGACTTTCAGTCAAAAGTGTCTGGAGAATTCTTGTAGAGAAACGAATTTCAATAACGTAATAAGACAAGCTAAACGTTTGAAAGATTTGAAAGGAAGTCAACATGCATGGTATCGAATTTCATTTGTTTCTCCCGGCAATAAAATGTACCAGAACAAGTGCTATTAATATCAGCGTGCGTATTTCCCTTACTGCTCTAGGTAAATTCCTTATTGTATTGATGAGGTGCTTACGTACAATTTTGTGTGCACCGGTCAAAAGGCAGGTAATATCACCATGATGGATGTTGTATTTTGTATGATGTGTCAGGTAGGTTGGTCACGTGATCCATTTGGTTGCGTGATCAATACGTATAATTATGGTCAATTTCCAGCTCTACACTCATAATGCTCTGCTATAATTACCTGACTACTCATCAGAGGAGCTGATTCGAAGCACAAACATCCTACATTTCAATAGTTGTTTTGAACATTGTGTTGACTCTTTTTATGTTGATAAAGTGTTGAGTACAATGTTGAGCTATAACCCATGTGGTAGTGATGTTACGATCACCATAGGTAGGTCTAGAATTCTCGTATAGATTTAGCAGAACGACCAGATACATAACTTGATAAAATAAATATCTATTTCAGGCATTACATTAAAAAATTATTGCAAGGAGGAAATAACAACTGTCTGCATGATCACCTCCCGAATATTCATACGCGAATAAACATTCAAGCAGTGCGCCATTTATTCCTGTAGTGATAACACCGGGTGATTTTGAAAAAGAAAATTATAACCGCAGTAGCTCAGAAGTTTGGACTCGATAACACAAATCATTTTCGAAATAACTTTCATGATTGCTATCTAAGAGTTTTCTTTCACATGTTAAGCTGTTGTTGCGGTAATATTCAAATGATACTAGATGAGCCCGCATAGAATTAACGGCCACGTAATTATAGCGCTCACGAATTAGATCACAAATGCAGAGAAAGTTAAAAACTTGAAACCATCCAACAAGTAGATCGGACCAAGCTGCAAAGAGATCAATCCTTATCTACAATTAGGGTTTGGTATTCCAGGTTTCAGGAAGATTATTCCGAAGGGAAAATTTATGATGTATAAAAGATAAAGCAATACTTAAGTAACCAGATGGTTATTTTTGGGGTAATGTTTTTTTCCTTGGAAACACTATTAAGGAGTATCGTTGATTGATATGAGTCTTACTCGAGGCTGTTGTGACGTGTCAGTGCATGCTAGAGTCTGAATGGATGATACACAACCAGACAGAACAGCCTCTCAGACTTATAACTAAAAAAAAAAAGTAATTTTATGCCATTATCATTATTCTTGGTTTGCACAATGGATTTGTTTAACCCTAAAACAAATCTTGCACCTCGCTCTTTGTAACTCGAATCAGACTGAAATCTGCCTGAATCTGTATATACCAAACAACGAGTTTTAAACTCAGGATTTTTTTTTAACGTTTAACATTGGTAGATTCCAGGTAACTGAAATAACTGGCTTTACTCATATGTTTAGATAGATAGCCACCGAAGTCTGGATAAAACGTGAACTGTGGAAGATAATTGCCGTCTAACATCTGTCATCGTTTCAAACTTGAATAAAAATGAGATCTACCTGAATCTGTGTGTACCAAACAACGAGATTTAAACTCAGACTTTTTTAACGTTTAATATCGGTAGATTCCAGGTAACTAAAATAACTTACTTTACTTATATTTTTAGTAAGATAGCCACCGAAATTTGGATAAAACGTGAACTGTGGGAGATAATTGCCGTCTAACATCTGTCATCGTTTCGTTTTCAGAAAGGGAGACAAATCAATCTCTGAATTCCATGTACTAGAAGGACTACAACACGATGAACAATTCGAGTAACATATCTCTTCAACACCTTACAGCGTTTCATCAACCGAAATATAACCTGGCCTCACAACTTGTTCCTATTGCAGTTTCAATCATCGTAGCGAATGGAGTCGTGTTTTATCTTTTCGGCAAAATGAGGAGTCTGCGCACTCCTGCAAATTATTTCTTGCTGAGCCTTTCTATAAGCGACATCATGACAGGCCTGATAAACATTCCGCTGCTCCTGGTTTTGGAACATCTGTCTTCGCCTAGTCTGTCGTTTACTGTGATTTACTGCACCTCAGAAGTCTTCCATAACGTGGTTTCAATTTCGATAGCTTACCACATCACTGCTATTACTATGGACAAATATCTCGCCGTTGTCAACCCCTTTGGACGTTTCTTGATGACCAAGAAAACAGTGAGGAAGGCATTATCATCCGTATGGCTTTGCTCAGCGTTCTTGGGGTCAGTACCTGCAACTTGGTGGGATTCATGGCTCGCAGAGGACTCTTTCGCTTTATATTTACAAGCTGGACACATTATTTTCTGTCTTTGCGTAGTGTTTTTTGTTCCGTATATGTTTATCCTTTATTCCTACGGCGTTATGTTTAAAGCAGTATCTTTGAAGCGGTCGTCAAAAGAATCATCTGTCCAGAAAGATTCCCGTGCATTTAAGAGAGCTAACAACGAAAGGAAATGCCTCATAATTCTGCTCGCAATGGCGTCTGCTTTTGCCATTTGTTGGATACCTTGGTTCACTTTAAGATTAATCTACGCTGTCTCCACGACTGGATGGATAGATATCAAAGATCAGGCTTCTTTTTCAGAAGCATCCCATGTGTTTGTCATCGTCAGATATATCAGCTCTGCCGTTAATCCTTTATTGTACACATTCTTCAAACAAGACTTTTGGAAGGCTTTCAAAATTTTGATATTGAAAAAGCATCCAAGGAGACAATCCCTGACCCCATCAATCAGATTATCAGTAACACAACGATATCGAGATAGTGAGCAACAGGACCAACTTCTAGTTTTGGATGCCATGAACGAAACAGGTGGGAAGAGAAATGAAAGGTCGTAAAAGAAAGGAATGCAGTTGGTTCAGCAGCAGAAGAGTTAAGGAGTGACTTACTTCGGATGATAAAGATATAAATAATGATTATGATAATTTAATTGAATGATACTAGAGGTTAGCTTTATGCGGCAAGATACTACTACAAGACAATATTTATATTAAGAATTGGGGGCACATAAGAGTCAACGTTTCGCTCCCTAAAGTTTGAAAGAAATTGTGAATAAACATTGACGGAACCTACCATGAGCTTAACGGTGGTTGCGCACCTCAGTGGTCATAAATAAACTAAGTCGATCTCCGATTCGTCCGACTCTCGAGGGGTTCCTAGATCAAATTCGTTTATTGCTTACACCTTCGGAAATTAGTGTGCGGAATCCATTCTTAACCATCAGCCAATCACAAAGCGAGAAGCGGGAAGCAGAAAAAGAAACTCTTACTTGAAATTCTTTCGCTGAAATCGGCTAGAGTCTTCCTTGATCTAAGAAATCAGTGCCAGTCTCCTACCATTTCCGTTTTCCATCCATGAAGTTTAAGTACAACTTATTTTCCTAAACTCTACGTGCATTTTAACATGGTTGGAGCTATGGTTTCTTACCGGTAACTTCTTAAATATCGTTGTCAAATCTTCTGGAATAATA